GGAAGGGGATGCCCTGCCAGAGCCTGGGGGTGAGGATACCCGTTTCTTTGCTTCTTGGCGGGAGCATTCGCTTCTTCAAGGCTCAGGGCCCAGGGGTGAATGAGTATCCAGGTTCACTTACCAGGGCGTTTCAAATGCGAGGTTGAGCGTGATGGGCGAGGGCCCCTTGCGCAGTTGCGATATGGTTAAAGCTTTCGGGTCAAGATATAGGGTACCCACGGTGGATGGAAGTAGGTATTGTTGGACATCTAGATCCCAATCTACCTTAAGCGACAGGCTAGTGGGCTTCTACCTGGACGGGGCGAAGCCCAATCTACTTCTGCCGCCTTCCTACTTTATGGTTGTACGGACTTCCTTCGACCGATGGGTATTTGATATTATGACCTTTAGCTCAGTTTGCCAGAGACAGGGTCAGACCCTGACGGTCAGGCAATGGCGCTCGCGAGGAAAGTAAAGTCAGAGACCAGAGTCAGAATCAGAGTCAGAGGGCCAGCCGCGTGGGCGGCGTGGGTCTCGATTGGTCTGTCATGCGCCTCTGTCCATGCTCCTTCCACCGCCCCTCCACCCCTGGGGGCGTGGGACCTTGACTGTCGCCCCCTTCTTGTTTTTTGGGGGGGGCCTGTCATTGGGTGCAAGGGGCTAGGGCTAGGCCATAGGTCATGGTGCACACGCACACAGGCGCAAACGTACCATACGTCGTAAATCATAGACAGTAAACCACAACTGGCATACTCCACTTACTGGCCATGTAGGCGATGGTATCGGCCATGGGGCGTTTGATAATCCAATGGTTGCCAAGTGTTTGCGTGGCCGACAGTGAGGGTGATCACCGATATGAGTACACGATTGATGGTTGATGCGTCGATGCTTGGATACGGGACGCCATGCTGGGGGTAACAAGCTGTGATATATACATATACATACAACATGTCGTCACACATCACTTCACTTATACACATACTGCACATACTATGCCAACATACCCAAACGCTCGTAGCTCATAGGAGCGCTCTGTCATGCTTCATTTCGTGCGACAGCTCGTGGAGTAGTGTAGTGTACATATCATCCGAATACCTGATACAATCATGCATGTTATCTGATATGTGATGCACGCGCAACATGTATGCCTGCATATGTCGTTACACTCATGCAGATATGCTGCATTGAACGACCACACATATGCACATACGTATCATTGCTAGTTGTCCTAGCTACATGGTGTACACATGATATCAACATGATAGCTCATCATGTACACATGCCATCTACATGCGACGACTGGGCGCTGACTAAGATGGCACCCCATGCGCCGACTAGGCGCCGACTAGGCGCCGACTAGGCGCCGACTAAATGTGGCGTGGTGCGAGTTTGCAAACAAGCGCGCGCCGACATGCGCCGACTAGGCGCCGACTAGGCGCCGACTATTGGCGTTTGCAAACAGGCGCGCGCCGACATGCGCCGACTAGGCGCCGACTAGGCGCCGACATAGAAACCATATTGTGGTTGTTTGCAAACAAGCGCGCGCCGACATGCGCCGACTAGGCGCCGACTAGGCGCCGACATAGAAACAGAGGGGCGGGAGTTTGCAAACAACCCGCGCGCCGACATGCGCCGACTAGGCGCCGACTAGGCGCCGACTATTGGCGTTTGCAAACAGGCGCGCGCCGACATGCGCCGACTAGGCGCCGACTAGGCGCCGACTAGGTGCGTTTGCAAACGCTGGCGAAACAGCCCCTGCGCCGACTAGGCGCCGACTAGGCGCCGACTATTTTGGCGCCCTTGCGCCGACTAGGCGCCGACTATTTTGGCGCCCTTGCGCCGACTAGGCGCCGACTAGGCGCCGACTAGGCGCCGACTAAAAGGGCGCCTGGTTGGCGCCCCCTGCGCCGACTAGGCGCCGACTAATGTTGAGTGGATTTTGGTCGACCTGCACTGAAAAATTGAACGCCTGAAAACTTAGCGAATCAGCGTTTGGAAACGCGAATAGTCGGCGCATAGTCGGCGCCTAGTCAGCGCATCGAGGTTGCATTGGCAAAATAGTCGGCGCCTAGTCGGCGCATGGACGTTTCACTGGTGAAACAGTTGGCGCATCGGCGTTTGCATCCTTTTGCAATCTCATGCTCGCTCCACGGGCGATTGGCATTGGGCTTTGGGAGTCGTCTCGAAATCCTGGTTGGAACGCGCCTGGGACAGGTCCTGCAATTTCCTCCCGTCTGGAGAGTGGATGCTAGAGGAAGGGGGGGGTGAGGGAAGGGGCCAGGGGAGGGGGGTGGGAGGAGGGAGGAGGTGGAGGGGAGGAGGAAGGAGGTGGAGGGTGGAGGTGAGGAGAAATCCAGGACACAATGACCCCTGTCCCCAATTCTTCTCGCTGCAAGCTGACTGGCTTCAAGGCTGGCCAGCTGGCCCCTCCTCTGGGGCCCCCTGGGGAAGCCTGGGGCGCATAGCGAGCTCCGGGGCGTCATGAGCGACCTCATCATTGATAGCGAGAAGGGCGATGCCATGGCGCATGGCCCCAAGGAGCGCGACGACCTTGCCGAGCTGGCGCGATGGGGAGAAAAGGAGGAGGTTTCGGTTTGAGTAGGGGGTAGAAGGTAGAGGGTAGAGGAGGGTATAGGGTATAGGCTAGAGTGTAATAGGCTATATGATATAGGCTACAGGCTATAAGGTATACGCAGGCTACAGGCTACAAATAAGCTGTAGGCTATAGGCTATAGGCTAGGATATAGGTAGGGTTACGGGTTACGGTATAGAGGGTAGAGAGGTAGCGGGAGGGCGAGACGAAAGTGGGGGAGAGAAGTGGGGGGAGAGAAGTCAGGACCAGGAGGGTGATGGTCAGGTCAGCGGTCAGCACGGGGGCTGCTATGTCCTAGGGCGTAAGGGCTTAGGGCTCAGGGGGCTTGGAGGCCTCTTGGAGACTTGGCGCATGGTTGAGCCTGGGGGCTATCTTGAACAATGAACAATTTAGACGCTACCATTCGAAATTTTTGGTCCAAAGAACCCTGGATCACCTCGTTCCCTTCTCCGCTATTTTCCATGTCCTGGCTGTCGTTATTCCTCATCCTCTCATCCCGATCCTCGGGCTCCTTACTAACTAGCCACATCCTGGTTCTGCTGATGTTGGACCTGCGGGTCCTCGCCATCCTCATCCCGATCCGGGTTCTAACTGGTCTCGGTCTCCTGATGATGATCCCCATCCCCAGTGTCCATACCCCCTACTCCCTACCCCTTCCATTATCTTATCTCTTGTCTCTTAGCCCTCAGTCCCTGATTCCCTAATCTCGGAACCTCCTATCCTGGCGAATGGCTGCCTTGCACGTGGTTTCTGAGGGCTGAGAGTCGAGGGCATCTAACGATTATGGAAACCCTGAAGCGTCTAATTTCGAGCCTTCCCGCTTTAATGTTAGCCAAACGGTCAAACGCCAAAGGGCTATCATTCTAAGTGCGCGCACCTGGCGTCAGGGCAGGGGCCAATAAAAAGCATGATACGCCACTTGCGACTGTGCCCCAGGGGGGCAATCCCCTGGGCCCCCCCGTGCTCGCCATCGCTTTGGAGGTACAACCCTCCGCGCCAGCGCCAAGCGGAATTAGAGGTCGCGTCTGTATGCCCGACCTCCGACCCCCGCCTGCCGCAGAACCACTCGCCAGATACGGTCTGCCGAGCCCTCCTCAGCCACGTTCATCCGCGCGCTTGGGCACGTGATGGCGCTGATCTCTGCCAGCGCTGTCGCGAGGAACATGTTGGCGTAGTCCTGCCCCGCCTCCCAGTGGGCTGCCAGGTCATCAGACCTGGACTGGCGAAGTGGGTGACGATGACGGCCTCCTCACCAGCAACCCCCTCGCCCACTGCCGCTGGCTGACCACGGCCTCCGCCGCTCACTGTGAAACAGCAGCAGCTTGGCCAGCAATCATGTCATGGTGACCATGGCGTTGGTTTGCTGCGCCCCTGGCGCCCGCTCGCGGGCCTCCAGGGTCTGCCAGGGCAGCGGTTCCACCTCCTTCACCAACTGGCTGCCTTCAGCAGCATGCTGATCTCTTCGCAAGCCCCCACCTCGAACGCCTCCACTAATTGGCTGCACCCCCCATGTAAAAAGGCCAAGGTGTTGGGCTGCCGCCCAGCGTTTCGCCCACGTGCCGACCTCCATGACCCGTCGAGGAAACGCATCCATGACCACCGCCTGGCTGCGAATCCGCGACAGCGCTGTGAAACTCATGAACTGCGGAGGCATCGTCAATCAAGGCGGCGCTTCCACGACGACATGGGCCATGAGTTGCTGAGCGCTCATCGACCAAGGCATGGCCTGTCAAAGCAACGCATTCATTTCCACTGGCTGGCTGCGGATCCGCAACAACGACTGCTGAGCCATGGCCATGGCCATCGCTGTCGCTCGACGGCCTGATAAGGGCGTCAGCGAGCGCGAGCGCAAATGCGCTCTGGGAATATTATTGGACACTCGTGGGGCCCCCTTGGCCCTTGGGGCTCGAGGCTCGACCTTCCACCTTCCCCCCCCCCCTCCCGCGTCCTCGAGCCTAGCCCGCAAGCGCTGGCTAACCCTGGCTAGCCCCAACTAGCCCCAGCTAGTTCCAGCGTTACAGCCAGCCTCAGCTAGCCGCTGCCCAGCCTTCGCCAGCTAGCCCCAGCAAGGTCCATCAAGCCAAGATGGCGGAGATGAGGATCTGAGGAGGAGAGGTGGACGAAAAAGGGAGAGTCCAGGAAGACAAGGACGACTGACGAAGGAGGGGCGAAGGAGGAGTCCAGGAGGAGGAGTTGGAGGAGGAGAAGGAAGAGGAAAGGAGGAGGAGGAGGAGGACGAGGAGGAGGACGAGTGGGAGGAGGAATGAGTTAGTTGGAGGAGAGGGAGGAAGGATGGATGAGGGAGGCTTGATGGTTGAGCAACGGGAGGACAAGTTTTTTTCTGCATTTTTGCATCAGGAAGAAAACTGGAAGACCTAGCAGCCTAGCAAGCGCGCTCCCCCTCCCTCCCCCCGCCACGCCGTGCAAGGCCTCCCCCATGGCCAACTACGAGTATGACGAGTCCTCCGAGTTGTCCCCGTCCACGATCTCCTCTGAGTCATCTGAGGTGTCCGAGGGCTCCAGTGGCGACCTCGCTGACCTGGCTGACGAGGACGAGGTAGATAATCTCCAGAGAGAAGCAGAGGAGCTCAGACAGAAACGGAAGAAGCTTGAGTTCGAGGTTAATGAGAAATGGATAGGCCACTACGGCAGCATCTTCGAGAGCCTGCTCAAATGCAAGTTCGACGACATCAAGTTCCCAGTGCACCCAGCCTCCGACGGCGGTTCCAACAAGAAGCTCAGGGTGTTGTCGTTCTGTTCTGGCACTGAGTCTCAGGCGCGTGGGTTGCCAACGCTCGCGAATGCACTTTCCTGGCCCGTCTCCATCCATGGCATCGTCAGGGTCGCGTGTTCAGGTTTCTGAGTGGGGCGCATGTTTGCCCACTTTGACTTAAGACTTAAGCGGCGTTGCGCTGGATGGGGATCCAGGAAAGTGCTCGCGATGCGTTGCTACTCGCCCAGTTCTTCGCGCTGAAGACGATCATGGACTACCATGGGGACAATGTCTGCGTGGATTTGGTTGCCTCCGTGGACCCTTTCAGGCCATGTCATCGCTTCGTTTGGAACAACCTGTCCACTGACGAGCGGGAGCGCGGCCACTATTACAATTACGTCTCGGAGTTAAGTGCTGGCGAGGCTTTCTGTTACTTCTGCGACTGTTGCTGCGTTGGGCCTGGTAGGGCGTCTGGGTGCGAAGGGCTGAGCGATGGGCAAGCAGAGGACCTCGACATCCTCGTGGCAGGGTTCCCGTGCCCCCCGTTCAGCACGCTGAATTCGCATCGCCAAGACAAAGACTTTAAGTTCTGGAACCACCCCGACGGGAACGTTATCGTTGACATTGCCCACTGGGTGCAGACTCAGCCGAAGGTTCCCCCCAAAGCGATCATTCTGGAGAACGTCCCAGGCGCGGTGGCTGTATCTCATAAAGGAAGGCATAATCCGCTGGAGTTCCTCATGAAGGGGTCAGTGAAAAACTACAAGGGCCTCGCTCGCTTCTACTACGGGCTGAAGCACTGGGGCGAGTACGACCTCATGAAGAGTAACTCTGGCAACGAGTACTTCGAGATTTCCGCCGGTGAGTTTGGATTGCCTGTTCATCGCAAGCGCATTTTCTTTGTGCTCATCAGAAAGGACTTGGCCAGCCTAGAAGTCAGGAACTCCATGGCGAAGCTCATGAAGGCGGCGACTCAAAACCCCATGAGGCTAGAAACGCTGAGCGACATCATGATGAGGCACAATCCCAGCAGCGAAGGCGACATCGATCTGAGCGAGGAGCCCCAGCGCAAGGTGAACAAGCACTACAAGAGCAAGAAGGAAGGCGGCACATGGAGCATGACCCAGAACAGCATTTCCGAGAGCATGGATTTCAGGGAGAAGCACGGCCTACCTGAGTATGGTTCTGATAAGATGTCCAGCATCACGCCCCGGCGCGGCATCCTCCCTGACAGGGAGCGCGACATCATCGACGTCATCGGCTTGATGCACGAGAAGGCGGGGGGGATCCCAGAGGACCTGACGATCGACGTCAGCCAGTCGCTCAGGAGGAAGCCGTTCAACGTCAATGGGAAAATCCCCCAGCTGGCCAAAGGCGCGCATGACTCGCCTAAACGGGGTGCTAGATCTGTCCTGGGGGGCCCCAGACCACTAGCCGCCGCTAGCTAGCATGTAGCCTGTAGCCCAATCTGGACCAGAACACCCATGCCCAGGCCACAGACCCAACCCACCCCCCAGGCCCCTAATCCTCTCAGGCAGCCTGGCTCCCGCCCCCCCCGCCCCGAGAAGTGGGCCATAAAAGCCTTGGGCCCCGCAGGGTCCAAGATCTGGTACCGCGGCAAGATCTTGGGGCCCAGGACGCTGTTCTACGCCATGGGCTGGGGCACTTCGCCGCTCGACTTTGGGTCGGACGTGGACCGCATCCGGGGAGTGTCTTTGAGGGTGCTCCTAGCCAACATGATCGCGAAGCCGCAGATCGGCCTCGTGCAGTTGGCGCTGCTCTACTCCCTGCGCCGCTTCACCCTGGCTCCCAAGGCTGAGCAGGTTGAGGCCTGAGACTGAGGCTTAGGACTGAGGATGGGAGAACGAGGAGACGAGGAGAAGGAGTAGGAAGGTGCAAGGGATAGTGATGGGCGGGAGGGAGGTGGAGGAGGAGGGGGAGGAGGAGGAGGAGGAGGAGGAGGAGGAGGAGGAGGAGGAGGGAGAAGATGGAGAAGGATGCGAGAAGGGGAGGGGGAAAGGGGAGGAGGGAGGAGGTGAAGAGGAGGAGGAGGAGGAGCAGGAGGAGGAGGAGGAGGAGGAGGGGAGGAGGAGGAGAGGAGAGGAAAGGGAGGACGGGAAGGAGTGAGGAGGAGAGAAGAGGGGAGGAGGGGAGGAGGAGGAGGAGGAGGTGGAAGTAGAAACCACTAATCCAAGAGATCAGGAGGATGTTGGGGAGGGAGGGCGGAGGAGGAGGGCAACAGAGAGGAGGCAGGAGGCAGGAGGCAGGAGGAGGCTGAGGAGGAGGAGAAAGGAGGAGAGAGCGGATGAGAGGAGAGAGGAGAGAGGAGGAGGAGCTCCAGGAGGAGGAGGAGGCGGAGGAGGAGTCGGAGGAGGAGGAGTAGGAGGAAGAGGAGGAGGAGGAGGAGGAGGAGAAGGAGGAGCAGGAGTCGCAGCTCGAGGAGGAGGAGGAGGACGACGAGGTAAAGGAGGAGGAAGACGAGGGAGGAGAGCGCCCGGCCGCCCGCCCTCCTGGTCGCCTGGTAGCTCGGCGAGGCACGCATCGACGCGGGGAAGCGTTTTCGACATGCTTCCGCCACATCCCTTGTCCTCGTCCTCCTGACTCCTCCTCCTCCTCCTCCTCCTCCTCCTGACTCGTCCTCCTCCTGCTCCTCCTCCTCCTCCTCCTCCCCCTCCTTCTCCTCCATCCCGTCCATCCCCCACTCCTCCATCCTCTGCCTCATCCTCCCTCCCCTCTAGGCTCCAGTCCTCTCCGCTCCACTCCACTGAACTCCACTCATTCTCTCTCCTCCCTCCTCCTCCTCCCTCCTCCTCCTCCTCCTCCTCCTCCTCCTCCCTCCTCCTCCTCCTCTGCCTCCTCCTCACTCCTGCTCCTTTCCTCCTCCTCTTCCGCCTCCTTCTCCTCCTGACTCCTCCGCCTCCTTCTCCTCCTGCTCCCTCCTCCTCCTTCCCTCCTCCTCTCCTCCTCCTCCTCCTCTCCTCCTCCTCTCTCCTCCTCTCCTCCTCCTCCTCCTCCTCCTCCTCCTCCTCCTCCTCCTGTCATTTCTGGCGTCCCGCTGCTGCGCTCCCTGCCCCGCGCCCTGTCGCGCTGCCGAGCGCAAGGCAAGAAGGGCGGGCCCAGGAGGGAGCCGGTCGGGGTCTTTCGCCCGTCCTCCGCCTATTTCTCCCAGGCGTCCTTCCATCCTCTCTGCTCGCAGGCAGATGGCCTGGCCCCTCAAGGAGCCCTCCTCCTCCTCCTTCTCCTCCTCCTCCTCCTCCTCCTCTTCCTCCTCCTCCTCCTATTCCCTAGTCCTCCTGGACGTCCTACCGAGTCCTACCCCTCCTCGCTCCTCGCCAGCAGATGTCCTGGCCCCCCAGGGGGCCCCTGGGATCTTGGTTTTTCCCCTTCCTGGCTCTGGAGGCCTACTTGGGCCGCAGGTCTCAGGGCCGCCCACGGATGGCTCTGTCACGCTGGGAAGCGTGGAAACCCTAGGAACTGACCCGGGCATTCCAGGGAACGAAATCCAAGCGAGGGGCGAGGGGTAGCGGCGCCGCTGGGGTTGGGTGCTGCTGGTCGTCCTCATTGTCGCTGCCCATTGGACCATTGGCCTTGGGATCCCCGCGGATGACACTGGCGCGCTGGGAAACCCCAGGAGCCCAGGAGGATCTGGCGGCAGTTCTTGGGGACGAAATCCAAGTGTGTTTTTGACAAAACGTCTGAGGGACGACCCTATGCCCCGCGCCAACGTCGCCGCTTGGGGGAGTTGCTGGCGTCGCCCCTGTCGTCCCTGTCGCCATTGCCCCTGTCATCATGGTCTGGGGTGCCTTTCCGCCCTCTGGAGGGCTACTTCAGCCTCGGGATCTCAGTGGATCTCACCAGCACGTCCGGAAACCCCAGGATCTGGCGCGAGAGTTCCAAATTCGCCGGCCCAACGGGCCAGAGGCGTGCTAAGATCTCCGGTCTGCTTTACAGTATTTCAAACTTCGCGCGCGGGGGGCGGCCCCTGGGGGTCCCCGGAAGAAAAATAACCCCGGCAGGGTCGGGGTCAGAGATGGTTTTCCGTCTGGGCGCCGCCCTCGAGACCCTCCAGAGAGCCCCAAGAAGGGTCAAGAGCCCCCAAGATGATACAAGAGGGCTCGAAGATGCCACAAGATCGCTCCAAGACGCCCAAGATGGCCCCCAGACGCCCCAAGAGGCCTCCAAGAGCACTCTCAAGAGGGCCCCAAGATGCAACAATCACTGCTTTTCCTTAGGTTTTGGAACGATTTTGGTGTTGCCACCTTTTCGGCTTCCCGACGCCCCAAGACGGCCCAAGAGGCCCCCAAGATCGCCCCAAGAGGGCCCAAGAGGCCCCGAAGAGGGCCCCAAGACGGCCCAAGAGGGCCCCAAGACGGCCCAAGAGGCCTCCAAGATGGCCCAAGAGGGCCCCTAGAGCGCCCCAAGAGCGGCCCCAGAGGGGGAGCACGAAACAACATTTCGAGCCCTCGGTCCTGAGAGGCCTCCAGGAAGCCCCAAGAGGCCCCTAAGAGGCCCCAAGAGGCCCCCAGGAGCCCTCAGGAGGCCCCCAAGACGCCCCCAAGAGGCTCTAAGAGGCCCCCAAGAGGCCTCTTGGAGGCCCTAAGAGGCCCCCACGGGCCAGCGGAATGAGCGACGCGACTCAATAATCAAATGCGAAATCCAAACATGTTTTGACGACACGCTCGGGGGAATCGTCCGTACGGGCAAGGGGTAATGGGTAACAGTAAGGGAAGGGGTAAAGGCTAAGAGGCCCTCAGTCCCTTAGTAGGGGGCAAGGTGCAAGGGGGTCAATAAAGGGCCAGCTGGCTGGCAAAGGGTCGGCAAGGGGGGAGGAAGAAAAAGAAGGAAGGAGGAGGATGAGGAGGAGGAGGAGGAGGAGGAGGACAAGGAGAGGAGAGAACATATGACAGAAGGAGGAGGGGTAGGAGGGAGGAGGAGGAAGGAGGAGGAAAGGAGGAGAGGATCATGATGAGAGGGGGAGGATTATAAATTATGATATGGGGACGAGAATACAAGAGAACGAGGGGGTCTGTTGCCGTTTTGGCTGTCGTGATCGAGCTTGCAGCTCAGCTGCTTTTAAGCAGCAGGGGGTCCACGACGATCACTCCAGGCCTGTGTCTCTCGCACCTTGGCCTGGGCATGGCAGATCTGGCCGACCTCGGCGACTCTGACAGCGACGTGCGCTCGGACTCTGGCGAGGCCAAGGCGGTCGAGGACGCAGGTGATAGCGACTCCAGCGCTGAGATCACTTGTGTTGGTTGTAAGAAGACGAATAAAGATCTATGCCCTGTCAAGAAAAAGAAACACAAAGGCCCTGGCCCGTTGGAGCGCACCCGTGCCAATCGCATCGCGTGGGGCAAGACCACCCGGAGGCGTGGCGGTAACATTCAGAAGTCTGGGGAGTGGTGCAGGATCTGCTTGAACGTTAGCACGCAGTGGATGGGGAAAAAGAAGAGGTACAAGTCAGAGGGCAACAAGAAAAAGGGGCTCAAGCTCTTGAAGGCCATGCGTTCCAAACATAACATTTATCATTTATCGGGGATCTACTGACCTGGGTCAATGCAGACATGGATCAGTCAGTCCGTGCAGGATCCTGCAGGACCCTGCATGATGCTGCACCCAAGCCTGGGTAAATGCACCCCTGGCCCTGCAGGATCCTGAAGATCCGGCGCTCTAGCTGACCCTGTTTTGCATTGACCCATGTCCCTTCGCCCCCCAATATAATAATACAAGAATCGATTCATGATGCTGGGTGTAGGCTTCAGGTCCCTCGGTCCCTCCTGGGCATTTCCTCGCCAAGACCGCGCTGGCCACCCTGAGTCATCCAATGCTGGCCGACAAATCTGGAGCCATAAATCTGTCCGTCTTTCCGGTCTCTTGGGCGATCCTCATGTGCCAGGGATCTGGTTTTCGTAGTTTCCTAAGCAATGGGCCACTTGCCCGCCAGGCTGCCCATCGCGCCCCCCCCCTGCAGGCCGACCTCGGGAAGGACAAGAAGGTCAAGGCGAGGTTCAAGGCGAACGTCAAGGAGCTCATCCATCAACGTGCGGGTGGCAGGAGTCGGGTGACTGTGGACCCTGAGACCGTGACCAGCGCGGAGATGAAGATCCAGGACATCATCCTCCCAAAAAGGCAGTTCTACGAGGTGGAGACCTACAGACAACTGATTGGCGACCCCAAGCGGACCAAGGCCAAAATAGTCAAGAGGAAAATTGGAAAGAAGACTGTCCACGGGATCTATGTGAAGGTTGGCCAAGACGGCATCTACGACGTGGAGACCAGGTACCGCGACGAGACCAAGAAGGAGAAGGGCATCCACAAGTCTGGGGACGCGCTCGACTGCGAGGAGGTGGGCGAAGCGTTCGAAGCTGCTGTTGATGAGATGCAGGAGGCCCACCCAGATGAGGGCGGCGCGCTGTCGCTGGAGGAACACCAGAGGCGCGCGCGCCTCGCGGAGATGGCCTCAGCTGCTGCCGCTGGCCCTGATGGCGACCGGGCCCACTCTGAAGGGTCGAAGTCCGACAGCGACGAGAACAGTGGTAGCGACAACGACAGCTCCGACAGCGACTTGGCCGACGACTCCGACGACGACAAGGAGGACGACGATCCGCCCCTGATCCCTGAGAAGCGCAGCAAGGACAGCAAGGGCAAGGCAGCAAGCTCAGCAGCTGCACCCTCGGCCTCCTCAGCCGCCGCGGCCCCCGCGGCCGCGGGTCCAGAGCCAGATCATCGCAGAAGGGGCCGTGACCAGAGCCCAGACGCCAAGCCCCGACACCGGTCTGCAGGGAAAGCACCATCTGTGGCGTCTGGTCCTTCGTCCGCCTCAAAAGTCAGCGAC